CAGAGCCAAAAAGCTTACTAGTTAAACATAAGATTTAAGACAAGAAATCAGACACATTAGAGAAAACTTACTCATCAACAATTACACTCTCAAACTGATTGATAAGTTCCTTAGGAATCGTAAGAAAAATGTAAATAACAGGTGTTAATAGTAGTACTAATGATGTTAATAATGGTAGCAGCAATACTGCGAAGAGAGAATTCATAACATCTACAACATTAACATACAAAGAAAGCACCTCAGAAACACTACGTAGGATTCTCAATAAGGCTGACTGGGATAAGAGTGGCATTTAACCCTACAAACTCACTTAGAAATAGACCTTGCAGTTAAAAGATCCCATTGATCCAATTAAGCGAAATAACTTCGTTTACCAAATCCCTTGCAACGATTGTGAGGTCAAATACATAGATCAATCGAAGTAGTCGGTTAATTAGGCTATCCGAGCACAAAGCTCTAGCTACGTCAAAATTGGTAGGTCAGGCAAAGAATTCAGAAAAAATCTCAGCCATAGTTATCCATGCAATTACATACAACCACACAATACAATGGGATAGGGTGGAAATCCTTAAAATTAACATAACAGTGTGGAGGGAGAGATTGATAACTGAGTTTTTGCTCATTAAATCAACATCGGATACACGCAACAGGAATGACTCAGCACGTTCAGGATATATGCAAAATCCTACTACCCATATCACAAACGAGGCGAGGAAATTAGGACTTCATAAAGAATATCTCAAAGTTGTGTAGTCATCTTCGTATGACTACGGACAATAAATTATGTCCGAAACGTAATCCAGTAAACAATACTGTTCCACTATGTCATAGATCTAGTAAACCAATAAAAATGGAATTACATCCGACCACACACTGCACAAGGTTTACTTTTTTATTAACGTAGAGAGCATTCGAACAAAAAATTTGCTAGTCAATCTCTCCATGTTTACCGAAATTTTTAATTACGTTAGTTTCAATCAGATCACTAAAAGAGAAAACAAGTAGTTGGACGCAAATAAAGGAAACATTACTCCTTTAACGGTCAAGTTGAGAAAAGCTGGGATATCTTACCTCCCATTACTAATTCAGTTGTTCAATGTGATCCAATGTCAGGTGATATAAGTTGTATATTGTCATCCTCTTGGATTGCTTAGTCGTCTAGAGATTAAACTTACTAACTTGATCTAAAGTTGCTATACACTTACATAAAAAATATTAGAACGAATAGGAGTCAAATATTCACAAATATGCTTCGCATTGGAATATGATGGTGCTACACTCTACGAGCTGGATGTCTTAGTTACTTTTGAGGCTTTTACCGCTTTTCTAGATCACAGCATCAAAATATACCCCACAAACAAACCGATTGTCCTCTTAATACTACCACCTAACAATAAGACTGAGGCCTAAGAAAACTTTTTCAGTTGCATAGCCACTGCATCTATCATGAAACTCAGTTTACGCACATGTTAACACATGAAACTGCATCTAACCAAAACCGCGGAAAATGGGTGAAATAAAGCTTAGCTACTTGTAAGTAGCATGACACAATTACCAGTATATAACAAACAACATTTTACGGCAAGATTTCTCAGAACTAACTCACCTTACCTTACAGTAACTGCATAGTACATCATACAGATTTTTTAAAATCAGATCGCTGATATAACATGATTCATTCTACTATTGCTTTTTTGTTAATATTATTGTTGCACAGTAGAAATGGCTTCATCTACACAAAAGTTGAAATAATTCCACTTCATTTAAATAAGCCATATAAAGTAAAACAATTCGCCACCTTAAGTAATGGAGACAGACCACCATATAACAAAAAAAGGGAGCGACGTACATCAGCTCAATGGGAAGGGGTACCGAGTGAGCACATCACTCTATTTGAGGCTCCGTACACAAACACCCGTGGGTACGTTACAGCCTATGGTGAGTTGTCAGGTGAGCTATTTACATTGAGTGGTGTCCAGCAAGGATATCCACTTCCTGCATTCCTGTTCACTTGTCATAGACAGTCTAAGCAAATTCTCCTCTCGGCATCTGACTCCACATGAATCAATCTGCTCTCTGGAGAATCTTCGGTAGATCTAGAATATACAGATGACACAGTCCTGTCACCTTAATACGCTGACAAGATGCACAATCCTCTGGACACCTTGAGTGGCAATCTGAGAACTTTTGGGATACGTTTTTCAATACCGAAGTGCAAATTTCTGATCCAAGACTCCTGCTAACAATAACACTGAAATTACTGAGCTCATTCAACCACCACTAACATGATAAGTCAGATCAACCCCGATGCCCTCGTCAGTGCCAAACGAAATCTCTGCACGCATACAAAGGCCTCAGCTGATTTTCGCCAACTGTGGCACCGCCATGATACCTGAATGACAACTGAGGCTACAGAGTACTGTGCTGAAGTCCTCTCTGTTCCACTTTACGGCTGTGAAAGATGATCATTAAAAAGAGACAAGAGAAAGCTAGAGTTGTTTGACCAACATTGCCTTCATAGTACAGACAGTGTTTCACGGTATCAGCATGTCAGTAACCCAGATGTCAGGTGCAGAGTTTTACAGAGGAGAGGAAATTCAGTTGGTGCGGTGGTGAACCTTCACTGGCTAAGGTGGCTGGGGTATATGTTATGCACGCCTAGACAACTTCCGTCTCATCGCACAATGTTAGCTGAAGTAGACTACGGCTGGAAAATCACTCGCGGCAGCCAGACTAAAACACGGCATCACTACATCAAGTCCCTGACTGTTGATCTGAGCCATGTAGGGAGATACAGAATAGCCAGTTGGGGTTCATGTTACAACAGAAACCAGTCATTGGACACTGAATGGTATGACTCAGAGCTGATATCAATGATGCAGTGCATCCACGTTTTACCTTCGCCCTGAACTCTATACTAAATTCAGGATTTTCACGTACCCCACCCCACCCCCAATTTTAGTACTTTTCACTGCTTCTAACACATGTTTCCTTCTTTCTTCATTTTCTATCTTACTACTTTGTTACTTGTCGTCCTAGTATGATATGTGACAGCTTGGACCGCTACGCTGTAACACCTGGTCCGATAATGCCCCAGTGGATAACGCTTCCATGTTTGAAACCATATGTGCTGGGTTCGAGTCTCAGCGGGAACAAAATCACTCACTGGAGTTCAGGTACCCCCAAATGATGAGTCCTAAGTACGACGAAATGAGCAGCCCCCAAACAAAACTGCTAGTCACCAATATGAATATAAAATCCCCGCTCATATTTGCATATTAACGACAATACAAAAAGAGACATCAAGCGGCTTAAACGTGCTAATTGACTAGATAAATATAACTCTTCACAGGCACCACCAGTAAATTTTCAATTCCACATCACCTTTATATTCACTAGCATATAAGTTAACGTGGTTGATTGGAGTGAATCAGAAGATCCAAATGTAACTGGGTCCAAGCCAATAAGCAAGAGTAGACGACTGATATACGTGGAAATGAGAAAAAAGGCGTAAGGAACATTTTTGAGGGATTTTAAGGATAGAGAAGTGGGATTCATTTGCACTTGCAAAATAGAAACTCATTTGAGGTATATATATCAGGAAGGTGGAAATTCTACACCAGAATGTATTCCGTATGCACAATATCAGCTGATAGTGCCTATAGAGACTTTATCAGCACAAATCTAGTTGATACAAATAGAAATCTAAGATTATGCCTAAAGTGTTTAGTATTATTCAAGTTGATTCAATTTGTAATTTATAAATGGGTCAGACTTCCTTAGTTTACTTAATTCCTATATCGTTAACATACCTCTTTCACCTGCCACTCAGTTACACCTTACATACACATGGAAACAGTTGACTTCTGGGTCAATACACCTTTTCACAAGTGTCATTCATATGACATGTGCTATTAAATCAACATATTAGCTTACTTTTACTCTTATTCATCGATGGCCTACTCTTATAGAATTCTGGTCAATACATACATATTTTCCTTTGTTAAAAAACACAAGAATGAAAATAGTGTGTTAAAAATATAGGCTAAATGTTGTATTCTATGTGATCGATAAGAGGTTAATCAATCAAGACTGTTGAAGTCATACAATAACTGATATCCACTGAAGCAAAGTGAAACGTAGAAAGGCTCGAGGTCACACAAATAATTCACTTACTTCGATAGGCAACCAGTATTACAAGTAGTAGTGCATGAAGCACACACTTCACTGTGCCAACAAACGCATATCAGCTTTTTTAAGCACAATATGACCTCAACACCAGCTTAACAGGGCTTTGGCAAAATACCTTCACAAACAATAAGTAAATAAAAAATTATACAACCAATCTAACAGTAAGCGTTGAGACATAGGTAGAGAGAGAGATTCACTGTCTATCAGTGGCATGATAAGGGAAAGCTCAGCTGGAAACTGGATTCTGGAACTGTCACCACAAACTCGTGAGCGATTCAACCGTTAGTGAAATAAGAAGGTATCAAAATAACAGGTGGTCAACCTATCTGTTTACATTAAAACGTTCCAGCAGAAGAAATTAAGGTGGTTGTCGGTAGTGAGTTATTCAATGGGAAACCGAACAGTATGATTCTTTAGGCTACAGTTCAGCGGTTTTAATAATTCATACTCAACTGGTTGGTTCATGGAATCTACATTACGCCCACCAGATTACACTTTTCGAAAAATAGCAAATGCAATAGAATAGACAGAAATTCACACTCCACAATGGTCACTTTTCCGATGAGACGTGTAACAAAAAGATTGAAATTAAGAGAAAATTTCATTTTCTAAAAGTTATCAGCACAGCGAGAAAAAGGAAATATTGTACACAACTCTAGACTATTACTAGCCTGTAAGTACAACAAAATCTACAAGCATGAACAAACTATGCTGAATTCAACTGAAATAAAAGTGAGGAAAGATACTGATAGATTGACTATACAATGTATATATATAGAGAGAGAATAGAAAGCCCAAGTCTGATTATAAATCAACACTTTCAAAAATGCTGTGAAATAAAATCCCGCTTGTGAGCATATTTCTGAGTAAGTTGCCTATTTGACCTAGCACAATGAACTGTAGAAAGAATTCCAGGGTGTTTAGCTGCGTCCAATCTCCTTTTATCATGTCCAACTAGTGATTTCCCTCTGATTCCTCCAAAAGATCTCGATAGTGATGACATTGAACAACATTCTTGATCATTTGGATTAGATTTTCCAATATTCGTCGACTTCAGTATTAATTTTCCGGTGTACGGATTGTGACCGTCAGTAATTGGTTTCAAGGATGCTGCTCCACCAACCGGTGTTCTTTCTAGTTTTCTTAGTGCCATTTCAATCTTGTGTATAGCCACTTTCGCTTTGGCTTGATGCTTTAGTCGGTGACTACTGTTGAGTACTGGTAAAAGAAGAAAAGTCAAAATATGAAAACCATTTAAAAAGGGACTCATCACATAACAAATCGAACACATTAAAACATTATGATGTGTCGCTATAATTAAGGATTCTATCAACCTTCTCGGTAAATAAAACTGAATTAGCACTTCACAATTAAATAGCGTTTAATCTGTTCCCTGTTAAAAGCCCTCAAGGAAGTCGCTGATAGACCTCAATTCAAGCACAACACTCCGAAACTGAAAGATGAAACTACAAAGATGATCTTCACGGCACCCAGCCATCAAGACAAAATGAGAGATATCGAGCAACATCGCTGAAAAAACCTGTGTGGAAGAAAACTGGAAGTCTTTGAAAGAGATGCGGAAAGAAACCTGCACAGCCATATTAGGAAGGAAGAAGAAGGAGACAAGGAATGGATCTCGACGGATAAATGGAAGCTGATAGAGCAGGGAGAGGAGGATGGTGAAGCAGAAGATAAACGAGTGCAAGGATGCTCAACGACAAGAAGAACTGAACACAATGTATAAAACACTGGACAAAGAAGTAAAGAAGAGTGAAAGGAAAGACAAAAGACACTTCCATGACACACTGGCAAGTGAAGCAGAACAGGCTGCTGGCAGGAGAGACCTGATAACATTGTTTCAAATAACCAGGTTACTATCTGAGAAGAGATCAACACAGATGAAGCCAATAAAAGATGATGAAGGAAATCTAATCACCAAAGATGAAAAACAAAGGAAACGATGATTTGACCACTTCGAAAAGCTCTTGAATCGACAACCACCTGCACTTCGTCCAGAAATACCACATGCAGTCACAGAACTACTAGTGAACACAGGCTCTCCGACGAAAGTCGAAGTCCTGAACGCCACAAAGCTGCTGAAATGCGGGAAATTAGCAGAACCTAATGGAAGTCCTCCAAAAGCACTGAAAACAGAAGCAGAGACAACAGCGGACATGCTCCCACCTCTATTGCACGAGGTTTGCAAAGAAAGAAGGAAAGATACCCGCCAATTGATTGGAAGTAGGGCTACACTGTCAAACTCCCAAAGAAGGGTGACTTAAATCTTCGCAGGGACTGGCGCGGAATCATGCTCCTATCCACCCAAAGCAAGCAAAATATTAAGCCGCATCATCCTGGACAGACTAAAAGGTGAATGCTCTGGATTCAAAATTACCACCGGAACAGGCTGGCTGGCTGGCTGGATTCAGGAAGAACAAATCATGTGCGGACCAAATTGCAACGCTACACTGCGCATCACCATAGAACAGAGTATAAAATGGCAGTCAACTCTCTACCTCAACTTCATCGACTTTGAGAAAGCCTTTGACAGCGTCGACCGGGAAGTAATTTGGAAACTGCTTCAACACTACGGAATACCACAAACCTTCACCAACCTCATTCAACAACTATATGAAGACTCCATATGCCAAATGATTCACAATGGAAAGCTCAGTGATGCCTTTGAAGTGGAGACAGACAGGAGTAAAACAAGGTTACCTACTATCTATCACCGATGATCTTCTTGATTGTGATCAACTGGATCATGCAGCAAACCATGAGGAACGAGAAGATGGGCATACGCTGGCTGCACCGATGAAAAGATCCTAGAAGACTTGGATTTCTCCAGTGATGACTTGTGTCTGATGTCACACAAACTTGAAGATCTACAGGCGAAAGCTAACAAGTTGACAGAAGAGGCGAGGCAGCGAAGGAAGACGGGACTTCAAGTGAACGTAGAGAAGACAGAGGTGATGAAGATACCCAACCAACAACAACAGACACCAATCATCACCAATGGGAGAAATCTGAAGGAAGTAGCCTCTTTCACCTATCTAGGCAGCACTGTTTCAACTACAGGTGGGACAGACGAGGACGTCAAGGCCAGGATCGGAAAGACAACAAGACATGCGTTCATTAACCTGAAACCAGTGTGGAGATCTACTGCATTCAGCATAAAGCCTGAACAAGATCCAGATTTTCAACACCAACATCAAGTCAGTGCTTCTATGTGCTGGTTCACAGACTTGGCGCGTTACCAAAAGAATTTCCAACAAACAACTGCAGACATTCATCAACACCTGCCACCTACACTCACTCAATACTGACACTGAAGATAAGATGGCTAGAATAATAAGAATAAGCAACGAGGAACTCTGGCTGGCCGGCAACGAACCAACCAAGAACCTATCACCCAACAAATATGCATTGGAAGGAAGTGGAAATGGATTGTGGATGCACTGAGAAGACCATTCGGGGACATCAAACACCAGGTCAGGTCATCGAGTGGAAGTCAAAGGGGAAGCGACGAGCTGGGCGTCTGAGGCGAGGGTGACATGGAGGAGATGGTGTGAGGAAGAAATGAGAGCTTCTGGGCTGTCGTGGAGGCAGTTTCAAAAGAATGCAGAGAACAGAGTGAAATGGAGATGTGCTACTGAAGCCCCATGTCCCACTAGGAACCCAAGGGACTAATAATAAAATAATCTGTTCTCTACTCCACGCTTTCCGTCTTCCATTGTGTAACTGCATTTCTCATTCCACACTTATTTGTACGTTCATTTTATACTACTCATTTATGATAAGTAGCATTACTTTTATTTCGATCATTTCGTTACGAAGTAGTATCCCATCCTCTTCTTTTCAAACTCTACCCCCTGCTATCCTGTTGTTTTTATGCACTTTCTCAACTGTTAGTTACCTCATTTCATATGTACTGTTCTGGACAACGTGTGCGTTTTACCTCAGTAATAACCCTCGGTTAGTCGCATAATTCAGCTACCTACTATTTACGCATTTCCACCGTTGCACTCACTTGATAACAACATAAATATCTGAATACCTCATGATTTCAGGTAACTACTTTCCGTTATCAAGAATCACAGACTACCCTCGTAGTACAGTATTCCGAGTTTTGACTTCAGGATCTTTATGAGTCCATCAGACGTCAAATTTCAATTTCCCCTACGAAATTTATATCACCGTTTCCATCTGGTGAGCTGATGGAATAAATTACAGAAATTCCATGCCATAGTTGTTGGGCACTAGTCTTAGAAAACAAAATAAATTCTGTTCTATCAGGAAGCCAAGAAAGGCTGACAAAACTGGGGAGAAAACTGGAAATTTGATAGTACGCGGTGAATCGTGAAGTAAGTAAATATGCTAGCCGCCTACTCTCTTTGAAAAAGTTGACCCATAAAAAAGTAAGTGAGTGGTCAAAAACAATACAGATCAGCTGCAGAAATTTACACAGTGGAATTGAAATGGACTGATCCAAATTGGAACACTTCAAAGCAGAAAATTAGGAAACATCAATAATAGGAATATGGAAGATTTATTAAAAGAAACTAAAAATGAACTAGAATGACACGTTAGGATATATTCATGGAATACTATGATGTCAGAGGTATAGAGGAGAATCAAGTGAATGGTTTTCTTCCATACCCAACAGGCATTATGCCACTCATGGCACCTGACTAATTAACGAAGAACGAGCATACACAGCAACAGTCCACTATGCTTTGCCACACAGTTGTGAGAAATAGTTTTTCGAAGTAGAAGATAGGTTACAGGTTATTGATCACAATGTTGAGGCAAGGAAGATAAGTCAGTCGATGACGCTGTGAACTGTCACCAACTGAGTTGGCCTGCAGATATGTTGGGCATATCGAGGCATAGCCCAGCTCAACGTGTAATATTAGCGAAGTAGGGTTAGTATGTGAGAAGGTGACCAGACCGAGATGTGGCACCAGTCCATGAAGTCTAACTCTTGGTCCAAGCCATGTAGACAGGTTTAGACTACCCAAGTAAGACCATCTAGATGCTGGGAATCTACGATTGGCGAATCATTGTGATATAGCTTAAAATCTGTAACAATGATAGAAATTCACGCAGTCTCTGCCACCTTCCATTTCCTCTCATTTACTTCCACCTAATTTTATGTATGCCAGTATGAAGTGTGGCAACTTGAACTGAACACTACTGCACCAAGTTATGTGTTGATCTATCCGTCTATCAAGTGAATGAATAAGCGAAACCACAATTGTTATATCTGCAACTAAATAAACCACTCAACCAAACAAAATGCAGTGCCTAATACAGTTAATTTCATGGTTTGAAACCATATTTCCATCTATCCCTCTTTCACTAAATTCAAATGATAGTCATGATAATCAATGTCGAGAAAGGTGATTGTTAAGCTGTGAAAGCGTACAAACAGCAAACAGTTAGACAAGCAATAACAAAAGCATCTCATTCAAACTTACGAAATAAAAATTATTGTTTCAATGAACCTTTTCAGGAATAGCAAGCAAACTTTTCGAAATTTTACAAAGCCTTATTATAATGACGTTTATGCGGTACAAAAACAGACAATTAAACATGACTGCCATGGATAAAACACTCACAAGGAGTCTTAAAATTTGGACCTTGAGAATTCGCCTTGCAATTTTGATGAAGACCAAGTTTCCCATACAAGTCAGGTATGAAAATATGGGAAGACAACATGGATGAAGAATTGGGAAATGTATCACCGACTGACATCTTGGGAGGACTAAAATGAATGAATGAAAAAAGCAGGAAGCAAAATATTCTTTAAACAAAGCACCAGAACTAGCTTTCTAAATAAATTTTAATATGGCTAGATATATTCACTGATAACAACTCCATACCAACAGCACTTTTCTTTTCCTTAATTATTCTATTGCTGTTTTATCCTCCTTGTTAATTAATCCTATCGTTTTGTTGCAAACAGTAGTAAACTGATCGGTCGCTATACAGCAAGCAAGCTCATGTTGCTCAATCCCAAGATGCTGAGTGAATGCTATCGATCACCATTCCAGAGTAGCCATTAAGACAAATAACTTAACACCACTACGGATTAATGTTTGATGCTTGAGAGTATTCGACAAGAAACACCGAATTCAGATTTCTGTAAATGGAACCCAGAAACTGCTGAACCTAAATGCAGAGCTTCTCGCAACTTATTCTTAACATCCCTGATGGAAATACTACATTATCTTTGACGCGGTGTAACTCACGAAGATTGTGGAGACTGCATAACATTGTGTATAAACCACTTCAACTAAAAGCAATATGTCCTTTTCATCGTTTTTTTACACATTCTGTACATTCTTCTTAATTCTCGCAAAACGAATGTTGTTTATATACACACACACACTTTTTGGTTGTGGCAGTAATTACACCTTTTGCTGCTGCTAATCGTGGAAATATAATGTGCTTCTAACCATTCCGGCTTCTGACTCAGCGACTATTGCCTGTCGTGCATAATAACTGATTGTCTTGGGATTTTACAGGACTTCTCATCCTACTTCCAAATATTACGACAATCAAGCCGACCAACGACCACTGAGGAGAGCCAACAAATATTGCCTTCTGATCTCTGCAGTATCCAAAAATTGTGGTGGACAATACCGAAGAGATAACCTCTGAGTAACCAGTGATTATCTATAACATTGACAATACTGTTTGTGCTATAACGTATAACTTTTCATACATTTGTATCATAAAATCCACTTTTCTTGTAAATTACACGTAGTTTGTCATTTTGGTTTACTTGACATTCTTTGGGTCCACTACAAGTTGTAGACCTACGTCGTTAGAAAGTGCCAACGTAAAACAAACCTAGCTATGGGACATCCTACCAAATCCGTTTAACCACATAACATCGTAACGAAGTATGATACCTTAAAACAACATACTAGTGGGATGGATACCCTGCTCTTTCAGCACGTCAGACAAACTGGAACTATTCAAGCTCATTTACTCTCGATTATAGCAGTCCATACAACTGCACTATATTCCCACATCTTCATATGCAAATACCTATGCATTTTCACAACACTGTGAAACTGTTGACAAAAAAGGATATTTACTTTGAGATTTATGAAGATTTTATTTATCTCAAGGAAGTATTCATCACGGACTGAAATCACCTAGAGAATCACTGAGAGCCTGAGAGCAGTGGACAGCCGATGCCGAAGGATGACCTTGGGTGATAGTCACGCTATAGAACGAATCGACAGAAGTAGGAAGCTGTGAACCATTGAACTCCGACCCAGTGGTTGAACGGATAATGCGCTCGCCACGAGAATTGAAGATCCTGAGTTCAATCCATGGTCGGATCGTAGGTGGGTACTGCTGAAAATTCTCATACCAGGACGAAATAGCTGACCAGTGTTTCCACGTTTTCAGTGGTACTCAACTAGTGTCAGTTGGCGATGAATACTACCTTGGAAAAAAAATTTTACAAAAAATTAACTAGTGTCGTTGAAGGGAATACACTATCAAAAATGAAAATCAAAACATACTGGATAGGATGTTCATCACAAGTAGCTCTATCCAAGCATTTTTCAACATGACCAGATGTGATAATTGTTGAATCACATACACCCATTACAGTAGCTAATTGCGCTTCACGTTGTTTAGCTTCCTCGATTATTCGAAGCTTTGTAGCCTCGTCCGAAGCACGTTGTGCAACTGTCAATTCATCTCGAGTTGGTCGAGCCGGCCTCGCAACCAAAGTGTATCCATGAAAATCCAAACCATCCAACCTGTGTTCCACAATGATAACAGTCACAAGTTTATTACTTTAGACACGAAAGCATATAGAAACTGGAAAACAATAAATAATATGTGCTAAAATATAAAGTAAACGAACTCAACTCGAGACCCACAATGACTGGGTATTTCTTTATATTATCTCATGCTTTACAGAAATGCATCGACAGTTAGGTTGACAAAAAAGAATTTAGTGGAGTGAAAATAATAGGACCAACAGTAGCCAGAAATGCATTTAAAATAAAGAAGTTACACCAATGTGGTTAATGTTATAAACACAAGTGGTTTCAATCAATAATCAGCAAAGCTGGTTGTGCACATATCACAAATTTCACTGGACCAATTTATTCGGAATATGACTTGAAATTTACGAGAATATTTGTTCTGCTAACATTTGATACACACCTTTATCATGCAATAGAAACGCGTCATTTTGGCCTAGAGAAATAAGGAATGAAGACATAGTGAACCTGAATAATAATTACTCCCTATTTGTGTTGAAGATATGAAATGAATAGATGATACCCTTTCACTGAAGTAATACAATAATCACGCAATTCGAATCTCAACTTCGCCCAGTTTACTAGTTCACTAGTTACTAGCCGGTCCTAAGCACAGATAAACTGAGGTTGGGCATAAAGTTAGCAAACCTACCTCGAAAAACAAATTCAATCGCTAAAGAGAGTTCAGAGCACAAAGAAAATATAAAAATGAACTTATTCCTCGCTGGAATGAGAGAAACGAAATGACGCCAGTTGGCAAAAACCTTCGAGAAACCAATTGGCCACTGTGCCTTCTCTCTCTTGATGAAGACAAAAGTCAGATTGGAATGTTCGCAACATGTATGAACCTACCAAGGATGATCACATTGCAAAAGAGATGAGAAGGTATAGCATAGAAATGCTAGGAATCTGCAAAAGTAGATGGAATGGAAGTGGACTCTCCGAACTGTCAACTGGAGAGTCAATAATCTACTCCGATGTTGTCACCCACATGACAAACACGAGCACACTGAGTTTTCGAGTGGTTATCATGATATCCCCCTCCCAAGAGCATCGAAGGCTCTCTCTCTCACTCTCAAACAGTGAGAACCAATCTCCTCCGGCATTCAGATCATAACACCTAGATTAAACTTAAAAAGAAGGAAAGTCACAATCATTCAATGCTACGCTACGCAACTACAAATAATGCAGATCAAGAGAAGAAGGAGGAATTCTCAAGACTACCGCCAGACTCCAGATAGCGACATCAAAATTCATTAAAATGGGTGAGATGACATCAATGCCAGCTGGGAGCAGACAACACAGGACGAGAAATCAATATCAGTCCAGATGCTGAAAGCCGGGAAACCACCAGGACCACAAGGAATCCTTCCAAGGCACTGAAAACAGAAGCAGAGACAACAGCGAACACAATTACACCACTATTCCAGAAAATCTGGATCGAAGGGAACGTACCCCACAATTGAATGGAAGAAAAGCAGACTCAAATGTTTCCAAGAACTGGCGCGGAATCATACTTCTATCCACCCAAAGCAAGCAAAATATTAAGCCGCATCATCCTGGACAGACTAAAAGGTGAATGCTCTGGATTCAAAATTACCACCGGAACAGGCTGGCTGGCTGGCTGGATTCAGGAAGAACAAATCATGTGCGGACCAAATTGCAACGCTACACTGCGCATCACCATAGAACAGAGTATAAAATGGCAGTCAACTCTCTACCTCAACTTCATCGACTTTGAGAAAGCCTTTGACAGCGTCGACCGGGAAGTAATTTGGAAACTGCTTCAACACTACGGAATACCACAAACCTTCACCAACCTCATTCAACAACTATATGAAGACTCCATATGCCAAATGATTCACAATGGAAAGCTCAGTGATGCCTTTGAAGTGGAGACAGACAGGAGTAAAACAAGGTTACCTACTATCTATCACCGATGATCTTCTTGATTGTGATCAACTGGATCATGCAGCAAACCATGAGGAACGAGAAGATGGGCATACGCTGGCTGCACCGATGAAAAGATCCTAGAAGACTTGGATTTCTCCAGTGATGACTTGTGTCTGATGTCACACAAACTTGAAGATCTACAGGCGAAAGCTAACAAGTTGACAGAAGAGGCGAGGCAGCGAAGGAAGACGGGACTTCAAGTGAACGTAGAGAAGACAGAGGTGATGAAGATACCCAACCAACAACAACAGACACCAATCATCACCAATGGGAGAAATCTGAAGGAAGTAGCCTCTTTCACCTATCTAGGCAGCACTGTTTCAACTACAGGTGGGACAGACGAGGACGTCAAGGCCAGGATCGGAAAGACAACAAGACATGCGTTCATTAACCTGAAACCAGTGTGGAGATCTACTGCATTCAGCATAAAGCCTGAACAAGATCCAGATTTTCAACACCAACATCAAGTCAGTGCTTCTATGTGCTGGTTCAAACATCTCCATTTCACTCTGCTCTCTGCATTCTTTTGAAACTGCCTCCACGACAGCCCAGAAGCTCTCATTTCTTCCTCACACCATCTCCTCCATGTCACCCTCGCCTCAGACGCCCAGCTCGTCGCTTCCCCTTTGACTTCCACTCGATGACCTGGCCTGGTGTTTGATGTCCCCGAATGGTCTTCTCAGTGCATCCACAATCCATTTCCACTTCCTTCCAATGCATATTTGTTGGGTGATAGGTTCTTGGTTGGTTCGTTGCCGGCCAGCCAGAGTTCCTTGTTGCTTATTCTTATTATTCTAGCCATCTTATCTTCAGTGTCAGTATTGAGTGAGTGTAGGTGGCAGGTGTTGATGAATGTCTGCAGTTGTTTGTTGGAAATTCTTTTGGTAACGCGCCAAGTCTGTGAACCAGCACATAGAAGCACTGACTTGATGTTGGTGTTGAAAATCTGGATCTTGTTCAGGCTTTATGCTGAATGCAGTAGATCTCCACACTGGTTTCAGGTTAATGAACGCATGTCTTGTTGTCTTTCCGATCCTGGCCTTGACGTCCTCGTCTGTCCCACCTGTAGTTGAAACAGTGCTGCCTAGATAGGTGAAAGAGGCTACTTCCTTCAGATTTCTCCCATTGGTGATGATTGGTGTCTGTTGTTGTTGGTTGGGTATCTTCATCACCTCTGTCTTCTCTACGTTCACTTGAAGTCCCGTCTTCCTTCGCTGCCTCGCCTCTTCTGTCAACTTGTTAGCTTTCGCCTGTAGATCTTCAAGTTTGTGTGACATCAGACACAAGTCATCACTGGAGAAATCCAAGTCTTCTAGGATCTTTTCATCGGTGCAGCCAGCGTATGCCCATCTTCTCGTTCCTCATGGTTTGCTGCATGATCCAGTTGATCACAATCAAGAAGATCATCGGTGATAGATAGTAGGTAACCTTGTTTTACTCCTGTCTGTCTCCACTTCAAAGGCATCACTGAGCTTTCCATTGTGAATCATTTGGCATATGGAGTCTTCATATAGTTGTTGAATGAGGTTGGTGAAGGTTTGTGGTATTCCGTAGTGTTGAAGCAGTTTCCAAATTACTTCCCGGTCGACGCTGTCAAAGGCTTTCTCAAAGTCGATGAAGTTGAGGTAGAGAGTTGACTGCCATTTTATACTCTGTTCTATGGTGATGCGCAGTGTAGCGTTGCAATTTGGTCCGCACATGATTTGTTCTTCCTGAATCCAGCCAGCCAGCCAGCCTGTTCCGGTGGTAATTTTGAATCCAGAGCATTCACCTTTTAGTCTGTCCAGGATGATGCGGCTTAATATTTTGCTTGCTTTGGGTGGATAGGAGCATGATTCCGCGCCAGTCCCTGCGAAGATTTAAGTCACCCTTCTTTGGGAGTTTGACAGTGTAGCCCTACTTCCAATCAATTGGCGGGTATCTTTCCTTCTTTCTTTGCAAACCTCGTGCAATAGAGGTGGGAGCATGTCCGCTGTTGTCTCTGCTTCTGTTTTCAGTGCTTTTGGAGGACTTCCATTAGGTTCTGCTAATTTCCCGCATTTCAGCAGCTTTGTGGCGTTCAGGACTTCGACTTTCGTCGGAGAGCCTGTGTTCACTAGTAGTTCTGTGACTGCATGTGGTATTTCTGGACGAAGTGCAGGTGGTTGTCGATTCAAGAGCTTTTCGAAGTGGTCAAATCATCGTTTCCTTTGTTTTTCATCTTTGGTGATTAGATTTCCTTCATCATCTTTTATTGGCTTCATCTGTGTTGATCTCTTCTCAGATAGTAACCTGGTTATTTGAAACGAAGTTATCAGGTCTCTTCTGCCAGCAGCCTGTTCTGCTTTCAAGAAACGAATACTGAAACAAAATATATTCCATCAGAGAAAAGGATAAAATATGTAACTTGTTAGGAGAGTTGTATTGTGTGTTGGAAAGCAAAATAGGAGTGTGAAGTCCACAGCAGTTATAAAGAAAATGGAGTATTTATTACGATGCAGTTGTGAGAACGAACAGAAATGCTTAACGATTGATAATTGAGACGGTTCAACCCAAGTAATCAGCAAAGAGATCCAAAGACTGGTAATCAGATAAGTTTATAGTATCTCACACTGAAAACATTTATTTGTGAAAACACACTATTTATAGAGTTTACAGTAACCTCGAAAGACAAGGAATAATTAGTACATTTAAACAGGCAGAAAATCAGAATCTCAACAGGTAATATGACATGTGACCCATGTGCGGGAAAAAGAGCGCGAAGAAAAACAGTTCAAATATATACAAATTCTAAGTATGGAGTGTAAGGGATACATACACCCTAATAGTATTCTACCCACATTTTCTAACTACTCTATATAGTTACTCCCTATTTCATGATCAGTCATCGAGTATTTATTAGTAAATATCTTAATCGCAGAGATGCAAACCCAATCGTATGAACCTTCGTTAGATGTCATGAAACTTCACTGACATGTTCAAAACCTCCCCAGTTGAGACAAAACAACTTCAACTGATCAAGTCGCAATTCACTACACTCACTGTTTGCTATAATAGTTATGGAATTGTTTACTCTATCGGAAGAGATAATTAGTTCAACAATTCTAGTGTGCATGATGATATTTCACCTTGATAATGAAGTCACTGATCATTAGCTGAGAACAAACACAGTTATAAATACCTTAGTGAAAAATAGGCTCATTGTTGCGATTGTGCGACACTCAACTTACCGATCCTTCTATCTATCTCTAATTTCTTGTCAAGGCTAATTATTTGGCCTTACCAAACTAAATAATTTCAAATATAATTGGTTATCATTGTCCTTAAAAAGGGCGTAAATAAGAGACGGGTCAGTCTTAGTACTTTCCAGGTTGGTTATCATTTTATGTCACCGATGAGCATTTATAATGGTTGAGTGCTGCATAGGCTACAAACTAACTACTTGTAAATTGGATCAACTTGATCACACTGGCTCAAAAGAGTATTTTCAGCTCAACCTTCCTACTGTGTAGAATGAAGGAAGTCACACAATACACCAGAAATATTTTCAAACTTGAAGATGGCACTGAATTTCACTCATCTAAATCTTTTACAACAGTATTTATCTTCATGAACAGAGGTAGGGATACGACTATACCAGATCACAGAAGGCTACTACACATTCTTGTTGTAGTAATCCCTATATAGAAACTAACATACTAAGAGACATGATGATATGGTTTCAAACTTAGGAAGAGGCTTGGGACGGTCAGACTAAAATGTGGCATCACTACATCAAGTCCTTGACTGTTGATCTGAACTATGTTGGGAGAATCACATTAGCCAGTTGGGGTCCATGTTACAACAAAAACCAGTGGTTAGCGACTCTAGGTGATATCCTGCAGAAACGAGGTCAATGGTGCAGATGCATCCACACTTTATCTGCGCCTTAAACGCTATACAGAACCCAGAATTTCCTCATTACTCTCTTCTCTTTCTCACTACTTTTTACTACTTTTGAGAGCCTTTTCTCTCTCTTTTCATCTTTCGACTTACTGCTTTGTTACTTGTTGTGTTGATATGAGGTGTGGAAACTTGGACCATTGTGGGTAATATCTAACCTTAAGTTAATATTGATTAGTTTGAAACTTGGAAAACCTGGTGGGTCTGAAACCAGAGTGGAACACGCTTCCAAAATTGTCACAACTTTACCTTCAACTTAAAAACGATTTCCAGAAACTATGAGACAAAGAGTAACAAATTAGGATCACTCACAATGACAATTTAAGTACCAGTTAACATAACCTCAGCGACAAACGAACAAGGTGAGAAGTTAAGGAATGCAAAGACTGAAAAGAAGAACATGAGATAAAACCAAATCCGTTAACTACCCAAAGATTAAGAATGCATGTGTCGTTAACATAGCAACCAATTTCGAATTATATCATCTAAAGACCAACAACAATCAGAGGTATCGTAATGATTTTCTCGAACTTCTGTTACTGAAATTAGCGTCGCACCCCAGTGCAGGTGGTGGCTATAAATGACCCAAGTCCAGTGAAAACTGAAAATGTCATCAGATGGATCGTACCACTTAAACCTAACCACAAAGTAGCTCACTCATTGGTTCAATCAAATGAAGACATACTTTCATAATATCATCGATGAAGAATCTCTAGTTTTCAAATGGCTTCCATCTTCAAACGATTATCTCATATACTGGCACAAGAATCACTGTTGCACAGTAGACCCACTTTCCAGTAAACATTTAGAGGTCCCATCAACTCAACAAATGAAATACAATGGCAAATAAATTTCTGGAAGAATTCGTCGGTAGCAGTCCATTAGGATATTTATCATTGTTAATGTTTATTATTGAAAAGGCAAATTTTAATAAAGCAAGAGTATCAAGAAATGTGCTACGTAAACCAATATTAAAACATTAGTTATAAAGAGGGGAGGAAGGGAAAAAGAAGTAAAAGCAAAGCAGACAGATTACACAGAGAGCGTTCTCATAAGATACATTTACTACTTTTATCTCACTTTTCGGTAACAAACAAATAAGAAAGCTATAGAGCGACTACTACTAGTTTCAATTTTCAGCCATATTTCATAAAGTCTGCAGCCATCGAGTTCCATGACTTATAAGACCCCAAACAGGGAGTCCTGAGGCATCAAGATTCCGATCAAGTACAAATATCCGGAAACGTACTTGTAACACATGCCCAGAATGGGTCCTTACTGATAACTACGGAGAAAACAGTGGTTAAGAATAGTCATCGAAAATCCTCGCCTAAAAGACCAGATTTGACATGAGCAGAGTACAACAATGTGGATTAACGCAGATTATATCTATTCGTTAGAAGATAATCAGACATCTCTTAAGCATCAGAAATGAAATAGGTTAGTAAATGTCAAATGAACCTTTGGTGTGTGAACTGACATTTTATCCAGGAGTGACAGAGCTCCCAAAATAAGATAGGCAGTCAACCCACAAAATCAATAGTTCTTAAACTAGACACCCACGGTACAGCAACCCTGAAGAGCCACTCCAACAAATGATACAACTAACTTAACCACTATTTTGAGGTAACAGAACTGTCTTTATTCGTACTTGTGCAAACCTTGAGTTTGTTAAATAATTGAGCTTCAACCACTATTCCAGAACACGACACTGTTCATATATATAGTGAAGTAAATTATATTCTTTTATTACTGGTGTTGTGAATTTACATCGTGTGGTCACACTGGCTCAGTAAATTTTATCAGTGCTTATCTAATCGAAACGTAAGAAAAACAAACTTACGCTTTCCAAGCTTTTTTAGCATCATCCACTGACTTGTACGTTATAAAACAATAACCAACAGTAGACCCCTGCAGATCACCAGCTTTATGCACAGGAAAATGAAAATCAGACAATCGCCAAACTGCTTAGCTAGTTGCAAAACTGCGAATTCCGTAGTGCGCTTTGGCAGACAGCCTAGCCAAATTCAATGTGGATCACCATTAACTTCAAAAGAATCACTACAATCACCGCAGACAATAAAGCGATCATCTTTCACTTCCATTTGGAGGAAACTGCACAGACTATCGGATCAATGCAAAAAAACGCACAAAGTAATCATATACACAAAGACTTTTGTTATAATAAGCAGGATATTTGGTAACGTACAGTTTTACAAGCCTTCTAAACATAGAGCTGTGATTCACTTGACTAGACACCTGACTTTTAACTGGTTTGATCACCATTTTATCCACCAAGGTTTGGGAAAAAGATTTCATCATAATCTCCTACAATTGATTTCAACATGAATTCCCAAGACACTTCAACAATAAATTACCACGCAAATAGTGGTAACCAGGTCGCTCCTTAAGTGTACCGCAACCCAAACAACAAGTTAAAGGTTTACGGACTCGAATAGATAGAATAAAGGCAAACATTACGCCTGTTATGATGAGAAGTTGTGAAAACGAACAGAAATACTTAACGACTGGTAGTCGAGCGTAAGACGATGCAACCTGAGTGATTCGCAAAGAAAAATCAAAAGACTGGAAACCAGATGAGTTGATAGTATCTCGGACTGAAGCATTTATGAGTGAAAACTGACCCTATTTACAGTTTACAATAACCTTTAAAGACAAGGAATCATTAGTACATTTAAAGAGTCAGGAGCCAATCAGAACAATAGTGGGTCATACGAAATGTGACCCATGTGCGGAAAAGAGCACGAATAAACAGTTCAAATATATACAGAACTTTAAGTATAGAATAGAAAGGATATCGGCATCCTTAACAGTACCACTTTGAACCAACCATCAGCACTTATCACATGGTAGATTGACTTTGTAACCTAATACGTAACACTCACAATATCTAAAATGTTCGGAATATTTCAAATAATCATAACAGCTAAAATGCCTTCAATTCTAAGTTTATGAATTTACTTGCATCAAGTGGATAACTACAACGTTTTTCATAGATACAGTCAACCGTATCCCTTGCAACGTCAACTAAATACCTATACTTCTACCAGTGATTGGATGGGTGTGAACCTCAGTGCATACATTATAACTTTGATATACTGTTCTGTATATTAAAACTATTAGTGCCATCCCACTAACCATGAAAAAATCTCTACTCAACCCATCAAGAGTCATTGCTGTAAAAGACTCCCTAGTATGCTCCATTTAGCTGTAGACGTCATTCTAGAGGTAAATTTCACCACCGACCAGAAAATAAGGCTCAAAAATGCCTTACTTATTTCAGAATACAAAGAAAATAAGTCCCTGATAAGTGAAAAAGTTTATAGCTAGTCATCCATAGGATCAGTTCGTGCAAGTGATTAGTAGCATCCATTAGATTTCTGATAGTACAAAACTACTGACAAATAGTACAACAATGTTTGTATTGTACAAAAAATAAAAGTGACCCATCTTTCAGTTGTAACTAGATTGTGTCCAAATGTAAGTCCAGATGGAAGAGCCTATACAAAGCATTTACCCAGACATATATGTCGACTAATTGCGTACTAACATGTCTTTAGTCATCAATGAAAAAAGCACACAACTTTGACCGTATCCAAGACACTTCAATACATTTTACTCCCTGTCAAGAATGGTACATCTTCAGGCTAGATTGTTGTCGTTGTTATTACTATTGTTATTGTGTACTATGTGATAATTCAACATAAATGAGCATTACAGTTTTGTTAAAAACACAGATGAACATAAGATCAACTCTCAGTGCTCCGATTGACGTTTCTCAACATCAGCGGTAGCCCGCCCTGCTTAAAACAAAGGCCTCTAACCCAGGTTAGCATACTTTACGTTAAAAACAGAGAGATTTCAACAATATGACCAATATGGTCCTCTGTAAAAAAGACTAAAAGTCAGAATAAACAGGGGAGCTGGTATTACTGCGTGACGCTTCTCGTTGCTATACTTCATATCAGCGCACCAAGCGAGAAAGCATGAAAACCAAAGATAAAGAAAGCAGTCGAAAGTGCTATAAAATCGTGATAAGACAACAAAGACGAATAAGAAAACATTGAATTCAGTATGACGATTAAGATTAGAATAATGTGCGGATACATCTACACCAACGAGATCGATTCCGAGCCATGTAACCTATAATCTCCAACCACTACTTTCTGCTGTCACACGGAAACCCAACCAGAAGTCTACATTTCCCTACATGGCTCACACTAACAGTCAAAAACTTCATGCAACGGTGTTATGTTTTAGTTTGGCTACTTATAACCTTTCTAGCTTAGACCTGCTTCAGTTAACATTGTACGCCAATACACACGGTGACTAGGTATGCGTAACACATATTTCAGCCACCTCAGTCGATAAAGGTTCACAAACTCATCATCTGATGTTCCCGCCCACCTGAAAACTCCATGCATGACTTCTATATTACAGACGACGAGACGGAAACCTTTGTACACACTCCAATGAAAAAGTTGAATAACAATGGTGAAAGGTGACATCCTTGACGTACAAAACACATCTAACGACTGACCATGTGTTTTTACGCACCAACGGAATGAGGTACTTGCTTGGCGCTCCTTCCAATCGTACTTAATTTGGTTCAACTGCCTGTAATAACCAAGTTGCTTGGTCGCATTTAAGGTTGAGGAGTGGTTATAGACGAGGTCGTCATACTATAGTTTACCAGTTCTCTACATCTAAACAAAAGCGAATTCAACGCCGAATCGTAAACACAAACATAAACGTATTTATCCAAATGCATGGAAAATATTCTGTTATCACGAGGACACTAGTTTTTGTCTTAAACATTTAAGGTTATAAGTAACGTTTTCCAACACTAGGAACTTAGCAACAAAAGAAAACCCAGTTCCCTACACTTCATACAAGAAGTCTTGATATCTTAGACAATTCCAGGAAAATTGACGGATTCAGAAGGAGGCAGACATGGAACCAGTATGGCAGAGATAGGTATCCCAAGATCCTGACCCATATGAGACATGCAAAAATACTTCTTTCTCTTTCCTAAAAGAAAAGAGGCTTTAACTCAACATCACTTATTGGTATTCTTACCTAGATATCATGAATATATGATAAAATGACATGCCCGCACAACCAAGCATATTTAGTTATAAGTAAGAGTGAGAATAGAATTGTTTGGCAGAATGGTATTCTTGATAGGCAACAACGCAAGCGCTTTGAAAACAGGAAGTGAATTTTCTCACGCTTTTGACATTTGCCGCTTTTGTTGTGTAATCCACATCAAAGGCTTTCGTATAAACCTTGACTTGAGGTACTTGAGTCAGTGTTTGAAGTTTAATCATTTTTGAGGCTTAAGGTTGGTCTTTGTGTTGTCACAACTTAAATGCTTGTGTCGAAATTCTGACCGAATACTTCAGTTAGTACACGGTACTAGTGAATAACATGGTTAGCGGAAATCATGTTTGCGGTCGTCCCAGCTGTAAATTCCCAGTGGATGAAGGTATGCAATGTGATGTATGTGGATGTTGGTTCCGCAAAGCTTGTACCGGATTGACAGCAACCGTGTACAAACGTTGCAGCGAACCAGCTTCTCCCTGGTTATGTGAGTTCTGCTGCAACCCGTTGTCAGCCCTAATCCAGGAAGCTGTTGAAATGTTACTCGTCAAAAAACAGCTATGTGGAAATGATAGCTGTCATTCCAATGCGGCATCAGATGACAACACTGTGTCATTGTGAATACATCTGACAAAGAATCTTCCAATAGATCGACGGGAGCTAGTTATCAAATTGGTGAGATTACACCAGTTCTGAAGCGTACTCGACGCAAGAGAAAACCGAGGGCAAATGGTACACCAACTATAATGCCTGAGGATTCACCAAAAGACATCTCTGGTGACAGCGCTGACTCTATAAAGGTGGTCAACGAATCCACATGGATCCCTCCAAGAAAGCATTCGAAGAAACCGCCAAAGGTTATCACTCAAGCTACTGAGCTTATGAAACACGCGACTCAAGGATTCCACTCCAACGCCTAGTGTGACCTTCTGGAATGTTGAGGAGTCATCGGACAAAGATCCTTCAATACGTCACGGCCATGACCTGCAACTAGTCGAGTCGGCCATCAGACGAATTCTACCTGAAAAGTCTAAAGGGGTACACACATCTCCAAAGTAGTCAGGCTAGGCAAGAAAAAGGATGAAAAACCTCATGAGAGAATTTTAAAGGTTCTTTTAGGTAACAAAGAAGAAGTGGATGTACTCTTGAGTAACGCATACAAACTACGAAATTTGGATATTCTCTTTCGACCTGACTGGCCTCTCGAGGACCGCATAGAAAGAAGAGAAGCTGTCACCGAGCTTAAGGCTTGACAAACTAATGGGAAAAACAATCTTAAAATAGTGGGTTTTCGGATTGTGAGGTCTTGGAAGCGAATGGGTGGGTCTTGGAACTCTTCTAACACAGTGAACGTAATCCACACTAATGTTCGCAGTATCAGAAGTAAAATGACAGACCTCGAGACTCTAATCTGCGAACTACGTCCTGATGTAGCAGCCCTTACTGAAACCTGACTAATAAAGGATTAAGATTTTAGATTTTGCGGGTCGCAAAGATAGCGGGCATACTACTCTATGTCGGGGATGACGTCCACATACGGTTAGTCACATCCAAAGTACACGAATGAGGAACCCGTGAAGTGGCCAGTTGCAAGTTTAAGTCAAGGCAAGGTTTCTGTACTATCGAGGTCATTTACTGTAGTCCATCCTGCCTTGCAAATGACTTCGCGCTAACCAATATACGTAACTGGAGTAGAAGCAACAGATGTCTAATAGTTGAAAATCTGAATGCTCTTCACACAAACTTGACGAAGCTAACAGTTTCAGCATTGGGCAGTTCCTTCGAAAATGACTTACTCTTGACGGTAACATGTGCAACACGTTACGATTCTGAACACAAGCCATCGTTATTAGATCTAGTTTTAACCCTCCATTGTGAAGACATTCTGGATCTACGACACTTCACTCCATTAGGTAGCAGCGACCATGTATTGCTAACCTTTGGTTTTCGCACCAATGAGTTTGGTTATGACACTGCTTCA